GTAGCGTAGATCAGGAAATGATCTGAAATGTTACAGTAAAAAAATCCATGATTAACTGTATTTGAAATGTTACAGTAAAAAATTCCACTATTAACTGTATTTGAAATGTTATTAGTCCATATATGGTCTATGAGAGTAGCAGACATTTCCATGACTCTTGTTGGATTTCTGATTGTGGTGAAAAACAATTTAGAATTCAGAATAGATATAAACTCTTGAACTTTGCTATCTGACTGCCATTTCAGAAGATCCAGATTAAAATCCCCAGTAAGAATACTAAACTTATTCTCTTGTGTGATTACATCAATGATTGCCTGAATTTTATCAGTAAATAGATTAATATTACTTTTAGGGCGTCTATATAACTACCCTATCAGTATGGAAGAGGTTTCGGTTTTAATTTCAGCAAAGACCGATTTCAGGTATTCATCTTGAACTGATAAATCTGGTCTGAAATGGGAGGAGTAGCTCCTTCTGACATAGAGAGCAACGCCACCACTGTGCCGGGATCTGTTGTTGAAATATGCATCATAATTTTCTATTTTGTACAACTGATTGATATCATCGGTTAATTTAGTTTCAGAAAATCCAATAATGTCAAAAATACTGTTATTTGAACACAGGCACTGGTCAATAAATTCATTTAAATGTTCGGGAATGCTACAAATGTTAAGGCTTATGACTGCCAGCTGAGTACTCGTTTCATGTGACTTCTTACACTGGAAGGCACCAGGGAACATGTACGAGCACTCTAGTTGACAGACCAAGGTGGTTTTGCATGAAGCCATCAGGGTCATGGTCACTCTGGTGCCCTTCATTAGCGGGTGTAAAACTTGAAAAGATTCTACTTTATAGGAATCTTAAGAGTGCGTGCAGAAATGTTATCTGAACTATTGAGCAAATATAAAAAATCATCATTATCTAAATCAGCAAAAGGAAAAGTTGATATAAAAGAGTCCATTATGAATGGTTGTTAACTACGTATTTACAAAAATACACAAGTGGCATACACATTACTGCTTGCTTCGCAGTCGTTGGCTCAGGGGGCTGAACAAGGAGTCTTCTTGGCGAGGAGACGTGTCGTTGCCTGAAGCTCCCTCGGGCGTCTTCGGGGCTGATGCGAAAGGGCCAGGGGCGTTGTGGGCAGGAGTCGAGGGGCGACGTAGCATTGGCGAAGGAGGATCGGACAAGGACGCACGCGAGGAGCGAGACTGAAGGGGGAGCGCGGAGTCAGGCTGGCTACGCGGGTGCGAGCGCTCAGTCACGACTAGTTTTCTGTAGTTGAAATAGGCGTGTTTTCCCTCGCTCCTCGCCTGCTTCAGCTGCTCCATCTGGTCTTTCCGTGCCTTGATAGTGCCGGCACAGAAGTCTTCATGAACAAAAACAAAAACAGGTGCATTCTTAAAGTTTGCTTTTTTCTTAAAAACTGCATCACGGTCCCCGAAACTCGCGAACTTGGCCACGATGTCCCTGGGCTTGTCATGAGATGGCTTCCCCACTCGACGAGCTCGCTCTATCACCGGGGCGAGGTTCAGGTGCTGCTGCAGGAGGTGGCCGAGTTTCTGCTGACACTGCTGCCAGGTTTCGTTTTGCTCCTCGGGGATGCCAGAGAAACGCAGGTTGTTTCGGCGTCCCTGGTCGTCTTGGTAGTCTGCGCGCTCCTCGGATCTCGCCAAGGCTCTTCGTAGGTCTCGGGTTTCCTTCGCGAGGGCTTCCGTTCGGGTCCGCAGCGCGTCGCTCGCTCGCCTCGCGTCCGCCTCGCGCGCTTCGAGCTCCGGAATGTTGGCGTGTGTGAACTCGAGACCCGCATGAATCTATCAATATATCCACATGAATCTATCCAATCTATGAACATGAATCTATTAATATATCCACATGAATCTATTAATAGGATATCCACATGAATCTACTAATATGTCCACATGAATCTACTATGTCTACATGAATCTATTAATAGGATATCCACATGAATCTATTTATATGATATCCACTATTAATAGGATATCCACATGAATCTATTAATAGGATATCCACATGAATCTATTAATAGGATATCCACATGAATCTATTAATAGGATATCCACATGAATCATATCCACATGAATCTATTAATAGGATATCCACATGAATCACATGAATCTATTAATAGGATATCCACATGAATCTATTAATAGAATATCCACATGAATCTACTAATATGTCCACATGAATCTATTAATAGGATATCCACATGAATCTATTAATATGATACCCACACGAATCTGTTAATATTCCACATGGATGAATCTATTATAGGATACCATGAATCTATTAATAGGATATCCACATGAATCTATTAATAGGATATCCACATGAATCTATTAATAGGATATCCACATGAATCATAGGATATCCACATGAATCTATTAATAGGATATCCACATGAATCCACATGAATCTATTAATATATCCACATGAATCTATTAATAGGATATCCATCTATTAATAGATATCCATGAATCTATTAATAGGATATCCACATGAATCTATTAATAGGATATCCACGTGAATCTATTAATAGGATATCCATGTGGATATCCACGTGAATCTATTAATAGGATATCCACTCATCATCTAATAGGATATTGAATCTATTAATAGGATATCCACGTGAATCTATTAATAGATATCCACATGAATCTATTAATAGGGATCCACATGAATCTATTAATAGGATATCCACATGAATCTATTAATAATATGAATCTATTAATAGGATATCCACATGAATCTATTAATAGGATATCCACATGAATCTATTAATAGGATATCCACATGAATCTATTAATAGGATATCCACATGAATCTATTAATAGGATACCACATCCACGTGAATCTATTAATAGGATATCCACGTGAATCTATTAATAGGATATCCACACGAATCTATTAATAGGATATCCATATGAATCTCCACATGAATCTAATAGGATATCCACGTGAATCTATTAATAGGATATCCACGTGAATCTATTAATATGATATCCACATGAATCTATTAATATGATATCCACATGAATCTATTAATATATCCACATGAATTTTGCCTCAATTTGTCGCAGCACTTGCGCTATCCTCACCTGGGCCTGAAGCCTTCGTCAGGAAGCTTTCAACAGAATCGAACACTGGCTTTGCATCGGCCACACACCACACACACACACACACACACACACACACACACACACACACACACACACACACACACACAGAAACAGACACACACAGAAGGGAGGGAGGGAGAGAGAGAGATGTATATCTAGAGAGAGACAGATAGATAGATATAGATATAAACAATAGAGCGTTGTCCTCATCTCACATCCATTCTTTCTGTCTTTCCCTCCCTTATTCCATTTTTTCTTTCACTGCCTTTCTCTCTCTCCCCTTTCTTCCTCCCTCTCTCTCTCCTCTTTCTTTCCTTTTTTTCTTTCCCCCTCTTTTCTCTCTCCTCTTTCTTTCTCCCTCTCTATCTTTTTTTTTTCTCTCTCTCTCTCTTGTTCTCCCGCCCCTTCTGTTTCTCATTTCCTTCCATTTTTTTCTTTCTCTGCCTTTCTCTCTCTCTCTCTCCTCTTTCTTTCTCCCTCTCTCTCTTTTTCTTTCTTTCTCCCTGTGCCCGTACCTCTACTTGTCTGATTTCTAATTCCTTTCTCTTCACTTCGTCCTTGATGTCTCCGATTACCTTGCGCAGGTTGGCTGCCTCCGCCTCCTTCGAGTCAAACTTGATCTTCATCTCCCTTAAGTCCTTCTCCTGTTGCTCGATTCTCTCCTGCAAGAGAAAAGTCTCAGGAATGCGCCCAGGAAACCGCTCTGGCACTGAAGCCAATGCGGAACCGGACGATCATCGGCCAATTAAAGGTGCTGTCACACTATCACTTTTCCCGTCAATTTTTAGACAATTTCCTGAAATTTTCTCATATAAATATATATATAAATATATATAAATATATATATATATATATATATATATATATATATATATATATATATATATATATGAAAGATGGAAATAATGCACTACCGCATTTTTATCATGAATATATAAACCTCTCTGTTCGGGGATCGATCCCGCGCCGCCAGATCGTGAGGCGAACACTCTATCCATTACTCAACCACTCAACAAAAGGATTGTGCAACCAGGTGCATACTAGCGCCATGGATTTTACCTAACTACTCATACCTGAGTAAGTACAGCGAGATTTTACACACAATCAGAGAGGTTTATATATTCATATATATATATATATATATATATATATATATATATATATATATATATATAATATATATATATAATAATATAATATATATATATTATATATATATATTTATATATAAATATATATATAATATTTATATTTATAATATATATATAATATATATATATATATATATACATAAATATAATATATATATATATATACTATAAATATATTGATATGTACTCGAGTATATTTAATAATATATATATATCTATAAATATAGCCTGCGTTTCCTCGCCCGCGCGCCCTACTTCCTGCATGTTCCCGCCCCGCCCCCCGCCCCCCGCTCCACCCCCCCACCCGCCGCTTTCCCCCGCCCCCGCCTCCCCCCCCCCCCGCCCCGACGAGTGTCACAAGGAGAGCGTGGGTGTGTGGGCGTTATTCCCCCACCCCCCCACCACGCCCCACCGCCCCCCACCCCTCTCACTCCACCACGTCGCGCCGCTCCCCCCAAGGCACGCCCACATCCTGTCTCCGACACACGCCGTCCGCGAGGCGACCCCTCAGTCCTCTGTACACGCCTGTCAGCCGACATCGCCCCTGCGTCTCAGTGCGAGGAGCGTCGGGGGGATAGTAATAGTATGGGAAAGTGCCTGTATGTAGTATCTGGATTGTTGAGTGCTGTGTGGGAGCGGCGGCGTGTCAGCTCGAGTTCCAAGCAGTCGACGGATATGTGCATTGAAATAGGGGTCGTGCGAGATGAGCGGGTACAGGCGGCGAGGATAGGTGTGATAGGCTGCTGTGTATCGAATTGTACTATGCATTCTTAAGATTCGAGTAAGTAAATAGAAAGAAAAGGAGTGAAAGATAAGAAGATAGGAGGTAATACTGTCTAACAGCGCCTTAGGTGTGAGGTCGGTGCTGCCAGATGTTGTGGAATTTTACATCGCAGGTGGGGGTTTTTTGATAATATGGATGAGTGGATGATGGGGGGGTTGTGTGTTGGAGGGGAGTTGTAGGATGATTTTAGGGGTTGAGGGTTGGTTTTGGAAAGTGTTTGTGGTGTGGTGGAAAAAGAAGGATAGAGGAAGAGAAGAAGAGAGTTAGATATAGAGATATAAAGAAGAGAGAGAGAATAGAGTGTGGGAGGTATAGTTTAGGGTAGGGTAGATGGAGATGAGAGTTGTTGGGTTGTGGTGGTGGGGAGGGCGTGTGTGGGAAGTATGGTAGAGGATGTGTGAG